AAAAATTAATAGTTTAACCGGGTCAAAAATTGTGCATGACTTATTATGTTCTGTGTTTGTCAAATCACATTTATAAATTAAAAAAGGCAGTGTGCTCGTTTTGATCTTCGACTCATAAGAGATTTACTCACCTCTTCATGGATCAAAGGCCAAAGTGTGAGTCTTATTTTACATCTACTCACTCTCGACGGCGAGCGCGTTTAGCGTTGTGATTGGTGGAGCTTTCGGTGTGGGCCAATCGGTCACCGCGACGAGCGAGTTGATGTGAAATAAACTCGCACTTGGCTTGGCCCTCAGGTTAGTATATAGAAAAGGTGACAGAACCCTACGGCAGTTACGGGTCGGCACTTCTGACGCAACCACAACTAGGAGCTGTTGATTTACTGATGCTGGTGCCTCTCTATCTGAACAGTTAAATCAATAGCTATGGTTGGGGATAAGCAGTCATCAGGGAAATAAGTTTCGACTCCTTACTGTAAAAAATCGAGTAGTATTAGTAAAATGGCCAAAAAGTGCTATTTATATAATATAATAGTTATGGTGATCATGTTATCTTTAATACACAGGTAAAACAATTCTTTAACTGACCTTCTCATGAACTTTAAATATTAAATAAATAAAAAAACTGGATTAAGGATTGTACAGTAGATCTGTTTTCCAAATTTAAAATACAAAACATATTGATCTACAAAAACAAATTGTAGTACTGCATCGTAAAACTTTAAAAGCAAGTGTGAAATTCTTTCAACCTCGTGCCACTTTACCGAAATTTCTGGCACAAATCTAAAAATAAGTCGATTATTCGTCTAAACAAATCTGGATCAACCTCTCGCGTCTTGGAATACTTTTTCGCAGATTTATACACGACTTCCTTCGATTAATGTAATTTTAAAACGTAACTGGAAGATTAAGTTACTGAAATTATCAAAAATAATGCATAGGTAATTTATTATTTTTATTATTCATAATTTTATGATTTGTAAATCGAATTTATTTGAAAATATAAAGTTTATGAAACTATCTATCTCAGGTTTTTTAAAAAAATGCATTTAGGTATTAGGTAGATATATTTTCAGAAATGATTGGATAGCAAAAAGTTATTTTTGAACCGATTGTAGGTAATTTGTTCTTAAAACGGTGTTTGTAGTTTTAATATTTTGCAGATACTTCATATATTACCACCATCGACTTCGTTTAAAATCCGCAATAATCGATTCATGCCACGTAAGGGGATATTTTGGTCGATCGTTCCCTCAGTCTGCGTCTTGTTCCTTCGCACTGGTATTTACCTACATCCATAGAACTTTGCCGAAGTATAAAACACGTTTTTAGACCGAGAGTCGCTTATTTTGTTCTCAACTTTGGCGAGAGAGCCATCTAGTGTCTCACGAGTGAAACACTTGCGTGTGTGATTGTGAGTTATAGTGTTATTTCTTGAAAAACAATTTGTTTCAAAATGCCTGGACGTCCTATTTGGCAGGTAAATAATTTATTTATATAAATATTCTTTGGGAATGAATTTAATAATTCAGGTAAATTTTTAAAACATAATTGTTATTGTAGTTGAATGAATCTAGCGAGCCTTTCATCAACCTATCAACTAAATTCTTTTTTTTTTGCTGAAATAGTTTGCTAAAATTCAAAGATTTAAATATCATTATTATGGCACTGGTAGTTTATATATTTATGTTTTTTTTTTTTTTACGTTTAGTTTACTTTAATTGGTTTATTTTAAAAGTTTGCCTTGAATATGGAAGGTGATGACTAAATTTAACATAAGCGAACCTACCTGCCTGAAAATAACAGGTGGATATAAACAAACTAATGAAAGTTTACATTTTGGCACTGAGTCAAGTTTTCCTATAAGGTACCACGCTCGTAATAGAGTGTGTATTACACAGGTTTTCTCTATGTTATCTAAAATAATTGATTTTTTACCATCGATGAGTAAGCATTGTTAAATGATTAATTTTATAAATGGCGGTGAGTTTGATATCTTGGTAACCTTTACTGTATTATTATTAAAATTACCTTAATTTTGTAATTTTAAAAAATTCCGTATTAGTAATTCGGTAGTTTAACTCCAACTATAAGCTATTACTGCGATAATTTTTATTAAAAGGGCACTGGACAATGAATGAAACTAAAGTTCCATAAAGCTATTTTCTTTATTATAATATAAAAGAAATCCTTTTAAACCCGTAAAAAGCAAATTCCGTTAAAATTAAATTCAGTTTTGGTATGAGTGATGTTTTACCATATGTGTAGTATTTTTAAACGCATGGTTTTACTTTAGCGCGAGGCATAACAAATGGTTTAAAAGCATTTACGGAGCTGCGGTTTACCATCTTCTGTTGAATTGTGCTATTGCTGCCAACGAAGTTCGTTCTTAAGTGTTAAAATTATGGACCTTTGCATATCGAGGTTGCTGTTATTATGGATGTTCAATATGTTTTCTGACTGATAAAGGAGAATGGAAAAAGAATCATTGCGCTGACCCTGAATAAATTTGGAAAATGGCTAAAGGATGATGATTCATTATGTTATCTATAAGCAATTAAACACTCTATTTAGATTTTCGTACCTCAAATGGAAAAAAACGGCACCCTTATAGGATCACTTTGCTGTTCGTCTGTCAAGACACTTTATCTCGGCAACGCCCCCACTCAGTGGCATTTTTACATATTTGCCGCCAGGAGGCTATTAAATTTTTGCCGCCCCTACTAACCTCTACAATTCAATACCCATTTTTCACTTGTAGAAACTAACTAGAGCCGTCACCCTACCGGGATTAGCATCGAGGCGGTGTGTCGGAACTGAACCGACTAAAACTATACAGTGTGTCATTCTGTGCCTGAATTAGAAGGAATCCGAGCACAGCTTCCGGACCCTCAATGCAAGGAGGACCCCGATCTGTGAGACGTCCACTTCGGTTTTCGAGCGTTCGCGAGCGAGCGGAGCTTTCGACGATCGACGCTGTGTTGCGCCTCAAGATCGCGATCGCAGATGGCTCTCTTGCGGCGTCATCAAGCTGCTGGCGGCCTGCTGCTGGCGGTATCGTTGAACATCGCCAACGCATTCAGTAGCCTGCCGTTCAGCTACATCTGGTAGACACACCACTATCACAGGGTGCTAGAGTACCTAAGGCGCCTAGTGACAGGCCATATAGAAGAGCGTACCGTCATGTACGAGACATGACGGTACGCTCCTCGAATCGAATCGATCCGAATATATCCTTTGTCGCGGTGAACTTTACAAACATATATGAAACGGGCACAAAGAACACCCAGACTCAGAACAACAATTTGTGGGACACACAAAGTGTTGTCCCGGGTGGGGATCGAACCCACAACACTAAGTGCACATCATTGAGGCACTGAACTTACGGGTTGCCCTGTATATTTTATGGGCCCCATTATGGTCACACCGTATCTACGGAGGCTTGGTGAGTGTTGGCCGGAATACCCCCGTCGGAGGCTAGGGTCGAAAAGGCTCGCCGAAGTATATCAGCGGCAGTTTGGCCGGCCGTGATACGCGCGAAGAGGCGGCAAAGAGGGTCCGGGAGGAATATTTCCACTCGGACCCAGTTTGTCGTCAAGCGAACCGAGCATGCGGCCCTGAGTGATGATTGATAGAAAAGTTAGTCAAAATTACTAATTTAAATTGTAATGTTTAACCGCTAATAGAATATTATACCTAACAATCCATATTCACAAAGATATATTTAAGCAAACGTTTAGTATTTTTTTAAACACAGATGTTGGAGCATTAGGTACACGGCATAGAACTAAAATATTGTTATTTTTTATAAATTTTCCAGACTTTATATTCTTTACTCAAGAATATAAAGAATATAAGTAATTATAGGTTTTGGAAACTGAATTTCGGGCTCGGCAAAACTACGAGATTCCGTTCCTGAATAATTTATAATACCTATGTAGGTACCTATAAATGTGTTCGGAACCCTCGGTGGGCGAGTCCGACTCGCACTTTTATAAATACAACAACCTTTCAAGGATTTTTGAGCTTTCACAATACAGCAAGTACTTACCTAATTCATTGTTCTTATTTTTGCTTCTCAGATTCATATAAGATCCAGTCAAGGGAAATAAAAATCCATTTAAATATTTTACACATTTTTTGTATCCATATTTACACTATATAACTAAGTACATCGTCAGTCAAAAATATATAATAAAAAAAATTGGGTGAATCTTCGTTATTTTTGTTTCCAAGTCATTGTTAGCTACACATAAATATTTAAAAGATTGTAACAATCTCTTAAAATAATCTGTTTTCAATTCCTTGCTATTATGTCAAAAACTTTATTTAAATTATAGTAATTTACTAACTTTATTTATTATCAACAATAAATTATTTTTGTAAATGAGAACAATGACTTAAAAGTAGTGAGGATTAAAAAAACGGATATTATCCCATTTACAGTAATTAAAAATATATAAATATAGGCATGTTTAGTTAGTGTATGTTTTTTTCTAACCTCTCTTAATAAGTATAGTTTAAAATAAAACTATAAACTGTGGCATCCATAAACAATGGTGTATAAGGAGGATACAATGCAATATTTAAAGATCAAACCGCAAAAATAACTACTTATAAACCTAGCATGAATTTATCACGATCAAAATTTTTCAAGACTTTTCTAGCTAAAAAGGTATGCGTTACAAACACCAATATTAGTCAGTTCATTCGAAATACATCGTTGTGTCATACTCATTACTTTACAATGTGTCGTTCATAAACAAAGCTTAAAAAGGAGAAAAAAATTATGGAATTCTTCTTCTGATTAATGAATTTAATCATCCATAAATATAATAGTAAAAACCTCTTTGACGATCATCAACTCCCTATAAATAAAAATACTTAAATGTTAATTAAAGAATATCCTTCAGGTAGCCACCGTAAAAACTTAAAACAAGTAAAATCGTACATAAAATTTAAATTATTGTTTGTATTCTTAATTTATTACGACTAAATTCCTATGGATCATTAATATCTCCAATCATAAAATCACCTGGCAAGTTATGAAATAATTTCTGCATAAATCCTAGTAAAATATCTTCTATTGTCTTAGATAATACTGATCGTAGTGATTCAGAAACTGGCCGCCAATTTGCGTTCAAATAGGTGTTGGTACTTTCCTCTGAAAACAAATAAATATGCGTAGTAATCATTTTAAATATTACGATAAGCAAAATAGACAACTAATGCCATCTTTTGCCAAGAATAAATATTAAGTGTATTACTGTGAGATAACAATTAAATAAGGTTATACAAATACAAATCCTTTTTTTAAAAACCTTCAATGTTAAGTTTTTTTCAAAACGAGAATACATAATTATGGTAACTATAAAACAGTATCTTTTATAAGTGTTCATGTTTTTTTTACATTCGACTAACGCTTAATTTTAAAATAAAAAAAAAACTCTTCGGATTCTTTAAAATATCGATAAGATCGTGCATAGGTACCTGACAAAAGAATGAAATCGGTTACTGAACAGGACAGAAAATCCTGCTGCACAATTTTTTCAGTGCCTTGACACCAAGTAGGTTAATTAATATCCAAATTTATTAAAAACTTCATTTCATTCAAGTATTTTTAAAGAGATAATTTTAATACATATCACATCAAAAACATATTTAAATTTAATAAGTGACCCAGGCGCACATTTTATAATTTTATAAATATATTTTAAAACAAAAACTCAAATAAACAAACACTCCAATGACATTTCAGTGATAATATTTTTTAAGATTTGACATTTTAGTAAATCTAGTTAGTTAGAGTTAGTTTATGAATTAATTACGAGACGCATAAAGCTAATCAATAAGCAAGAAGTTGCGAATGGAATTAGCAATGACCGAGAGAGGTTGTCAAACGTCCAACGACGTTTCAACGTCTCAACGTTGCAATTTGTAACACGTTAGTACCAGGCTATCATAAATAACAGTAGCATACTTGTAAGCTGACAGCGCCATCTGTCGATTATATTATAAAAGAGAATCAGCCGCCTTTCAACAGTAGCGCTTTAACAATGGCATTTAGAAATACAGATGGCGTTAGTTATTTAGAAAACAATTAGTTTTACTTGTCTCGTTCTGTGAAAATCATACATACCTAAAGCGTCAATACCGTCGAATAAATTATTCATCCGTAATTTCAGACCTCCGATTGCATATTTAACATGGGCTGCAGTGACATTGAAAAATGTGAACTCATCTTTGTTATATAATTTTACATCACTAATAATATCAATTGTCATGTTACCTGGAAAGATAAATCAAAAGATACATTACATTTACTTGGCTTACATTTTTAATTTAGTTCAAAATATTAAAACTCACTTGGTTCAAACCAACAGAGACCCCGTCCAACCAGCGGTATTAGCAAAATCTTTCCTTTTAGTTCATAGGTCCCTTCTATCCTTATTTTTGGTATTCGGATCTTTGTGTGAAAATCATATGTTTTACGGTCAACTCTGAAAAAATATAAATGAAATATTATATCTATTATCTAGATAGTTTCGTTGTGGTGTTTTCGTTCTGCTAGATAAACAACGGACGCACGGCGCGGTGTAAGGTTACGTACGGTGTAAGACTTCCATTGGATTATTTGCTGAACTTAGTCGATAGAGCAGTCGACCAAAGTACCAGGGCGGTATGATTTAGTAGTAGTAAGTTACTTACCTGCTGGACAAAACTTCTGTTTTACCGAAACCAGTTACAGTCACGTGGTCAAGCGCTGCGTTTACGTTCACAGGTCCGTCGTCGCCTTGTAAGATCCTAATTTTTGGAATTTTCAACGGATCTAGAGGTTCCACTCCGATTTCGGGCAATCCTATAATTGAAAAAAGTCAAGTCTCAAATAAGCTTCTCAACGCAAGTTTAAATGTATTAAAGTTTGCCTAAATCGAAACTACCTTTCGATAGTTCGAGGCGTCACACGAGTATGGTGAAGAAATAGCGCTTTCGCTTTCCGCAAGTTATGTAGAAATGTTTCGTAATTGAGGCTATGTGACTGGCCCAGTGGCTTGTAGATCTACCGACCTAGCTATCACTTGTTTACCATTACAATATCTTAGAAATTATGTTTACATGAAAATCGTGGTAAATATGATTTAATAATTATTAAGTTCTCTTGTTATTTTTTTCAAATTACGACAATTCAACATTATTTTAACAACATTACGAAGTGTTAGCATAATCGAGAATTGTTTTTTTGGTTTTGGTTTAAAAGCTTGATTCAATCCTGTTACAGGGACGCGTCACGTTATATTTTAAAATTGAAATAAGCTTTTAATTTAAAAAATTGAACTACTGCTGTCAATAGCGTTTCGTTTGTCGTTTTGCAACGAAACGTTGACCGCAGTATCTCAACTTTTTATTTTAAAATCTTAATTTAATTTTTTAGGTCAACGTTCATTGCAAAACGACAAACGAAACGTTTACGAACGCAGGAAGGGCACATTTTACCAGGAGAGCAGTGCTGGCAAGAAGCTCAATCACAAGTGGCGCGCGAGTGGCAAACCATAACAGCTGTGAGTCGTTGTGCAACAAACCAGGCTCTCAGAAACTGTGCCAACTGCCAACGAAGTCGGTCGTGCGCTATTAGACAGACACTTGTATGAAAATTGCACTTCTCATACAAAACTAAACTGCATTTGTTTGGCAGTATTCAATTAAGTCTTTACTATTAAATAGAAATTTGATGTTATAAATAATAACAAGATTACATAATATATATTATTCTTACATAGAACATATTCAACAAATATAAGTCACGATGAAATCAAAGACACCCATCTCATGTAGGTACTACACCTTTCTTTTTTACCTAGAGTCTACTACTGCTGTAGGTACGATTATAATAGGTCTTTACCTATGAAATTGCCGTTTTGTATGCAATAAGTGAAAGTACTTATTTTTTCAAACTTTTTTATTTCTGTTATTCGAAGTAATCACCCACGCAATCGACGCATCTTTGCCAACGCATTGGCAGTTTATTGATGCCCTTCTTGTAAAAATCAGCTGGACGGGAGGCAACAAACTCTTCAAAGGCATTTTGCACTGCCTCTCGGGAATTGAATTTTTACCCACTAAAAAGTTGTCTAAATTTTGGAAAAAGTAATAGTCGGTAGGTGCAAGGTCTGGTGGTCACATCTGCAACCAGCTTTGGTCAATCGGTCGTCCCCACTGCTCCTTCACGACAACGCGCGACCCCATACTGCGCAACAGACAGTCTCCAAGCTGCAAGAGCTGGGGTGGGAAGCTCTCCCTCATCCGCCACACTCACCAGACCTTTATTTCCGAGGCCGAGGATGACCCAGACCATGTTATTTCATGTCTCCCCCGGATCGACGCCGCGTCTAGTAAGGCCCCATCCCGGGGAAGCGGCGGGCTTCCCACGGCTATCGGCCCAATCATTATATTTTTTCGACCCGGGTCTTAATTCTGCTATTTTATGTTAACATACATACAAGCATGTCACACAATAGCATGTCATTCCATTGACATGCTATTGTGATGCCATTGATAACGGTCAATATATCGGAATTCTAGTAACATAAATTCAGTGTCAATAGACTGTCGATGTTGTTTTAATGGCTTTTCAATGGTGATATCAACAACATTGTCATTTCTGGAAAATTAAATATATCGTTTCCTTACAAATTGAAAATGTAATGTATACCAAACTATTACAAAGACATCGACGACATTTATATCAGTGGCAGTTCAGTGACAAGTCATCAGGAGGCCATAGTTAGTAGAATACGAATAGTGCAAAACTATTTCGACGACATTCCATCGACAACATTAATACCATAATAAAATAGCAGAATTAAGGCCCAGGCCGCTATCCTATCGCCTACCGCTGCAGTTAATCTGCCACCAGAGGTCCCCACTATTTACCTGGGCCTAGGGCATTGAACAGTTGTTGAACAGCCTGTCGCGAACAATCGTCGAATTCTGGATCCTTTCTGAAGCATGTCTTCACGAAATCAGCTGAAAAAGGAATATTTTGCGATTAGTAAAACCATTAACCAAAAATTTTGTTTTCATCTTTTTAATAATAAAAATTGTTAGAACATTAAAATAATGAGTCTATTCTACAACAAGAATAGCAATAACATTAAAAGTACTGTAGAATAAACTTGAATTGCTGCATATTTGTATTACCTATATGAAACGGCATCTTTATTCTTTTACTTTTTTTTCTTTTAATATATTAAGTACAAGAGCCATGATTAACGCATTTTATTAGAAATGTCGGATAACGAAGGAGGTATTGTACCTTACAGTAAAATTTCTTTGCTACTTCATTTAGGATTACATCTCATATAATAAGATGTAAAGAAGTTTGAAAAGATGCGCATAAGTCAGATAATATATCCTTTATAGATAAAATACAGCACAGTATTTTCTCATCCAAATTCAAGTGCCTGAACGAGATATTCTTTGTGTAGTACTGTAGTTTGTGTGAAAAACAACCAATGCTTTTTAGTCTTGTTTCCATTTATGTGGAAAGGGAACTCTAAAAAGTGTCGTCGAAAATCCTGAATATACATACTCGTTTGAAAGTCTTAAAAAATTAAACCAATTACAACCTCAACCTTATTAGTTATTCAAGCTCATATTGGTATAACCTCAGAGCTCACACATCTCACACACAGCCGTCTGATCTCAAACAAGGCAGAGTCTGTACTACGGTAATCACTGGCCTGCTGATAAACATACTTATATATTTCTGAATAAAGGGTGTCTCAGTAAGAGTGCACTTTCTAAATTTAGAATATTTTTTTCCGTGCAAGTGGCAAGTCTTTCATAAAATACGTGTTTCTATTTTAAAACGAAAAAGTGCACTCTCACTGAGACAACCTTTACAAGCATATTTATTTATTTTATTTTATGTACATGCATCGGTGGACTTAATGCCTAAGGCTTTCTCTGGCAGTCGACCGATTAGGCGATGCTGAGAACGAATGGGGTAGGTGTATTTATGGGACGGTAATAAATGATAGAGGTTTTGTTAAATACCAACTATCTTAGAATTTGGTATGTACATCTGAATACCACACACATACATATATATACGTACAAATGTGTATGTGACACACATATATTTTCATATATACATTTATATTATTAAAAAAATAGCATATATAGCATATTATAGATAAATGACATACAGAAACAGAACAAACGATCGTGCTAGTGCCACAATTATATGTCCTGGGTGGCAACCGAACCCATGTAAAAATTTAAGGTTCAGGAACTTTCTTCATAACTAATATTGACTGCTCGCATGACGCAGTGCTTTAAGCGGTCGCCACGCCGCTTCCTACTACGCTGAGTATTGTGGGTTCGATCCCCACATGGGACGACACTTTGTGGGATCTACAAATTGTTGTTCTTAGTCGGGGTGTTCTTTGTGTCCATTTCATTTATGTTTGTAAAGTCCCCCGCGACACAGGATACATGCTCAATGAGGGAGTTGTCTTTAAAAAAAAATTGAGAGACTTATCTAAAACTTTTTAAGTGCGTGGCAAAGACGTCACCGTTACATAAACGAAAGCACTTATTGCAACAAGGCCACTGCGCCACTGAGATAACTTTCGTCAGACCTTGATATTGACACGGATTCAAATTTAGACCACTTTTATTAAAACCTTATCTTAATTAATTAATAATGTAACGCCTATAACAAAACTACTAGTTTTTGTCAGGATGACATACCACATCTTGGTCCGGTTTGATGTCCATCAAACTGACTCGGTGTTTCGTCTCCGATTATTTAGAAACGCACCCCCGTGCCATTTGGTTTTTAATCGACGTCGAAAAAGGCAAACACAGGAATTTTAGGAAGTTGAAGATGGTATGGACACCAACCGGAATTTACCATAGTAAGTCTTTCAGGGGTTGCAATTCGTTTACTGCACTTTACACTTCCTTCACTTACCGATTTCAGTTTTTCAAATAGATTCGATTACATTCTAGCTTCGTTTTATTTAAATTTGGAGAACATATTTTAAATTACCTAATCGGTGGAATTGCCCTTTGTTGGAATTGCAACGATAAAGGCAGATTGAATTTCTTTATTCTCTTTTTAAAATTGTTATTGTATATTATTAATTAGCCTTACTAAAAACTAGTTACATTTAAAAATAAAAGTTATTGAATTAATAGGGTCATAAATGGCAATAACATCCAAAGACAAAGACAAATACATTTTTATTTGTTAAAACATGAGTATACATACGCAGGCATGCAAGATGTGTAATAAATTCAACATTCTCAAAGTCAAATTAAATTAAATATAATTAAAATACATACTGTACACATTATATTAATATTATAAATAAAAGAAAATACAAGAAAAATTCTTTGAAGGTTTATAATTTATTTTTTCAAGTATTTTAGTTTTACACTTCCTGAATTACAATTTGCACGAGGGTCGGACTAATTAAACTAGTTTACACGCTTTTCATACCCCAGCTAAAAGTTGTTATTTTATTATTAATTTAAGTAGAATTATCCAGAAAAAATAATAAAAAGATTCGGTCACGTCTGGTTTAATAAATATTTATTTACTTAACTGGAATACATAATTTTGTATTAATACTAAAAAAAAAAGACTAATTTTTACCTTCTTTTTATTATCTACCAATAGTGTAGTATAGTAGTCCAAAACCTCCTTTTAAGGAGAGGCCTATGTCCAGCAGTGGACTATTAAAGGCTTTTGATGTGATGTGATGTGTGTGAATAGTAGTAGTATATTCCGGGTAGTAGTGAGTCATCGCGACTAAAATGAAACTAACTTTAGCATGGCAACTGCGTGGCAAAATATTAGGTAACTTGATATTAGTTTTCATTGCCTAGTTTTAGTAGTTCTCTAAACAATTTTGATTAAGTGTCAGAATTGACAGCAGACTAGATAATCTCTTAAAATAAATCTTTGAATTCTTTGACATTATTTCACATGTTTTTATTTGAATAATAGTTTATTTTAGGCTATTTGACTATTGATTAATTATATTTCCTCAGAGGAGTTTCCTAGAATTAGATAATAAATGTGCTTAAAATGTACCTGTAATGTACCTACTATAAGAGATTTATTAACTTTTCATTTTAACTTAATAATGATTAATGGCCACTAAGACCAAAAATTGCGTTTATTTTATGAAAAGAAAAAGTAGTGTAGAAAAAAGAAATGCAACTTATTTAATATATTAGTATCTTTATTAGCAGTCTGGTTACCATAATACAGGCTCTGCCTGGTTTGGGACCAGACGGCCTTGTGTGAGAAGTGTGAAAATATTATATTATTATTATTTATTTTGCATTTACATAGAGGCAAGCAAATATTGTACAACCGATAAGTATAAACATGCCCCTGCTTGAGGCATAATTGGTTGTTAGCTTAGCATTGTGCTACTTCGTAAGAAGCAGTGCTGATATTATGTTAACACCTTTGCTGAAATTCACGGACTTAAAGCCATTGACTTACGGAATAGGTTTATTATTTGAATAACATGAAGCAATCATTAGTAATTGAAAATCATAGAAACAATTATTAGTAATTGAATAACATAAAAACAATTAAGTATTAGAATTAAATAACATGAAAACAATTATTAGTAATTGAATAACATAAAAATCTTTGAATACCTATTTCATTCATAACAGCCAACAGTTGGAAGCAACAAATTAAGTATTCAAGTATTACTACTGACCTTTCCCTATTAATTTTTTTTATTTTTATGATTCTGTTTCCTTATTTTTTTTTATTATAATCACTAATAACATATTTTAATAGTGATCTTATGAATATTTATGTTCTTGTTAAGGAAGAGGAATTGTATAAGTTTTCCATTACTATTTTAATAATATTTAGATATCTATAACTAATTTGTTGATAGCAAAATTCAAGATCACGATCGTTATTCCTTCGAAGGTCAAAAAAAACAACGCATAGCAAAAAAGCACCAACAATTCCATACTTGTTTTGTCCTGTGTAGGCAAATAAAGTATATCTATACTGATATTATAAAGATTTGTATTAAGAGTTTGTTTGGCTGAATGTGCTAATCTCAGCCCTATTCCTTGCTATTTTTAAAACTCTTTTAGTGTTGGACAGGCTATCATGTTACGACTAATAGGACCTGAGTATCAACGAAAAATGTTGTAAAAACGTGGCCAATTTAATCCTTTTGAAAGACGCAGACGACGTTACGCGAGTGGGCTTGTTTATAATAAAACTAAAGAATTTTGTTTTGTTTGATTATTTATTTTTGCTTAAACGCACTTTTTCAGATAGATTTTAATGGTTCTTTTTACCAGACCGCCAAGCAAATGTTATGTTATGTGTTGTATGTTTATTTGTAAATTTCTATATTACCTCGTATCTGCCAAATGGCTGGATGGATTTCGACAGTTAGGGTATTTTTTATGCGTCTCAAAAACCTATGAGCGAAGTAGTGATATTGAGTTAGTATTTATTTGGTGTGGAGTGACTACTCTATAACAATATAAATATATATGACTCGGCGTCTTAAGACTACTTGAACTACCTACCTTTTTTATTTATCAAATAAAATACAGTAAATCTAATCTGTACACATAACATTCTTAAATCACTAAGGTTTGTCGTAAAGGCTTAAGTAGTCTACATATTGTACTTACAAAAATCATGACAGTGCAAGTGTTAAAAGTAAACATTAAACTAAATACAGTGTTTCTTTTTCCGTTTATTTTCAACTAGCTTTTTCCCGTGGCTACGCCCGCGTGTATGTCAGTTATCACGGTAAAAAGTAGCCTTAGGAATCAAAAGTATCTCAATGCCAAATTTTATTAAAATCGGTTCAGTAATTTAGCCGTGGAAGCGTAACAGGCAGACAGAGTAACTTTCGCATTTGTAATATTTTACACCCTATAAACTTTGTATACTATTCTGTATCGTTCCGCACAACTCAAACTATACACATACCAAATTTATATCTATATACGGCGATAATGAATCTTATCCTATGTCCTTGCCCGGGAGACGAACTATCTCCATACATAATTTCATCTAAATCAGTTCAGCGATTTAAGCCTGAAGAGGTAATAGACAGACAGACACACTTTCGCATTTATAATATTAGTATGGACTAGCTGAGACCCGCGGTGTTACCCGCGCTTGTTGTTATAACCGCGGGCAACGCCACGGGGCGAAGCTAGTTTAAAAAAAGTAGCCTAAGTTACTCCTTATGTCATCAGCTATCTGCCAGTGAAAGTCCTGTCGAAATCGGTCCAGCCGTTCCAGAGATTACCCGGAACAAACAGACAGACACTCCAATTTTATTTATTTGTATAGAAGATGGATAAATACCCCATGGGCTAGCTGTGTAATCATTACGTATTATTATTATTAGTCCGAGGTCGATCAATAAATATAAGCCTATGTAAAATGTTTAAATAATAAAAATAATGTTCTGTATTTATTTATTATTCTAATATAACATCTATACATCTATACAAATAAATAAAATTGGAGTGTCTGTTTGTAATATTAAAATAACCGCTTTTTACTAATTGCATATGTATGTTTACACGGTACATATGCCAAAATAACATTTTTTACAATTTTTGTCTGTCTGTCTGTCTGTTTGTACCGGGTAATCTCTGGAACGGCTGGACCGATTTCGACGGAAGTTTCACTGGAAGATAGCTGATGACATAAGGAGTACCTTAGGTTACTTTTTTTATACTAGCTTCGCCCCGCGGCGTTGCTCGCGGTTATAACAACAAACGCGGGTAACACCGCGGGTCTCAGCTAGTATTGAATATATTTAAAGAAATGATGTAACTTTGCCTTGATAAACTAAAAACGAGCTAATCTATTGATTACAATAAAACATTGACATTTTATTAAAGGTTAACAAGTCATGGTTAAAATATATCTATTTATGTATATGTAATTGCCACTTAATTAATAATAATAATAATTTTAGTATGTTGTGATGACCATACAGCAATGATAGCCGAGCGGTTTGACTATTGGCGCTCCCCCAAAGCTTTCAGAATTTGATCCCTGTTATGGGATCTTTGAGTTTTTATTATTACTACTTTTACCGGTAAAGGAAAACTTAAAGTAAGAAGTTTGCCATCTAATAGAGCATCGTGGTAATGTTTACTCTAATACGTCTTAGAAGAGAAGACCCAAGTCAGACAGAAAATAAGTAAGACAAAAAATATTTTAACTGGTTTTTAGGGTAGGTATCTTGTGAGCCTGAAAAAACCCCATTATTTTGACATTACAAACAGACACTTCAATTTAATTTATTTGTATAGATAATATAGAAATCTTTTAAGGGTCTTCTAAAATATCTTAAAAAGTTATAGAAAAGCTGTAGCTGGTTTAATAAATTTAGAAGATTGTTTTCAACCAGCACTGCCGAGTGAAGTGATAGGCTCGAAATGATAAATTTATTTTAAATTAAATTTGGAATTGCGAGTATTTTGTTACCAGCAATTTAATAGATAATATAAGAACTACTTATTTCGTTTTAAATCAAACGATTGTTATATTTTAACAAAAAATACAAGTAACTTAAATAAGAAAGATCTAAATATAAATGTACCTTACGAACTTTTAACTGTATAGAATATCGTGATCAAGCTTGTTGCGCTATTTATATTATTTTAGACACAACTACCGTCTTCCGTGTCATGGTATCCTGGTAGTTTTTCTTACTGAAACGGCAAATAACCAACGAAAAACTGCAATACTAAGAAAACGAAAGATTTCCTATTTTATTCGTTAACTAACCTAGCTAATTTAAATATGTAATATGTGATGTAAATGTGTAATATAAAATGTGGTCATTGGCTCTAAACAATTCTTCAAATTACATACTATATAACTAATATGCATACGTGATTACTTCACATGTTTTGTAAACAAAGTTAACTAACTTTTACGTGCGTTACCATGAAATAAAGACCGGTTATGTCAAAAGAATTGCAACAATGTATCTGAGAATGTAACACACGATTAAACTTTTTATATCGATAAAAACAGTGCTAAGTATATTGTCATCGAGTTGCAATCATTGCAGACACCTTAGAAAATGCCGTAACTTCTGATATAACTGCAATAACTGTTTTATGCAACATCAACAACGTTGTGAAACACGGGATGGTATTAGTTTATTGTGCCCAAAAATAAACGTTAATATATACATGTAGGTCAATTTGTATATTTATTATGAACAAGCGTATTAAAAATATAAAAATAACTTACGTTTCGTTCTATAATAATCTGCAGTTGCGTAGTGGAGCACTAATGTCACTATAAATAATTTAAACTGCATGGTTTAGTCCGGTTTGTTGGTTCGTGGAGAAGCTTGTCAGGATCGCCCCGAGCAGGCAGCTCGAGGAGGTGGTGAGATACTAAAACCCCGCTCTACCGGCTGTCGGCCTCTTCATACCACTTCTGAAGGAGGGGGGCATACGCAATTGTTCTCTATGTAAATAAAGCTTAAACTTTTTGTTGCTCAAGTTATTATTGCTAATACGATATTTATTCGGTACATTGCATATTTTTTTCAATAAGGTAAAATGAATTGTTTATTGAATAGATTTATTAATGGTAAATTTTTCAATAGTTTGATTTATAGATAGTGAAATATTTAGGTTTGAGGATTAAAAATAATTATATAAAAATGACCTTTCTAAACTCGCATGTTCTTGAAGAGGTCAAACACATTCTTTTACACACATACATACATCATTTCTCAAGTTTTAGTTTACTAAACTTTGAATCATTACAATTTGCTACCCCAAAACTTTTTGCTCTTAAAGCTAGGCCTCAGTTATAAACCAGTGGTAGTTTAAGACCTAAGACGATTTGCGATCAAGAGGTTACGGGAGGAGGAGAACCTTCAGAAATTAAAATTTGTTACAATAGATGTTTATCCATTGTAACAAATCTATAGCAGAACACACATACAAAATAAAACATTGTGCAATAATTTAGGTCTACAACTTTAGATATGACTTTTCACTGCACTTACCTATCAAGGAAATCAAGACGATTTCCTCACACATTCACCTTTAACTAGTTCATTTTAAATAGAACAATTGGCAATTAAAACCTTACGTGCACCAAGTGTTACATTCGTTCCGTAACATCGATTCCTCCTTCTTTAATGAAGGTTTCATAATGTAGTACGTATGAGCATTACTATTATATTGTTCAATATTGATTTAAACCTTTCAATTAATATAATATCAATATTGATTTAAACTTTTCAATTAGTATAATTTCAATATTGATGTAACTGAATGTTTAAGCTGCAAAGTTTGATCAGATAAAGTATTTTAATTTAATTTACCCCAACCCAATTTTTTTGAATTGAATATGCATAGGTACCTTTAAGTTCAAGATCTTTTGAAGATTTGAATTGGACGATGTCACTAAACTCCACAAAATTGTATTACCAACCTCCTATTGTTGAAGTACCACGCTTATAAATAATTTTGAGGGATTCCGTTTAGTGGTCTTAGTCCTAGTACATTATGTGTTTGATGCATATATTGTAACTGTTACTTGTGCTGTAACATGGTGTAAATAAAGTGTTATCTATCTATCTGTCTATACAACCATTAGTTTTAAGTGCATAAAAACATATATAAACTCAAAAGCGATTGCATTTGAGATAAACCATTGTAGTCATGCTAACATGCCGCGATTATAGGGTTGTGATATTTCAGAAATTTTCTTCGACGTCACCAGTCGCAAATTCCTTGGTGTCTGTTCTCTTGTTAATTTAGGATATATCCCTTCAGTCACTATTATGGTCGAGAAACTTGGTTATAAACTATGTTTTAGTATTCTCCTGACAACTTGTTGTTTGCTTACTGATCCTAGCGAACTCGTCACGGGATACTTTGTAGAGACTAGGAACACATCACTAAACAAATGTTCAACGCTTCATATCTAAACAATTGAGTTCCTCTATCTTTTGTCTACGTATGCAGGTGTTTTTCTTTTTTTTTTTTTTTTGCAATGTTCTTTTATAATAGGGTGGGTCTAATAATTTTCAGTATTAATATGTTAGTAGTCTATAGAATATAAGTTGTTAATTGCGACCACGGCTCGAAACGGAATATTTATTTTATGTAAATACCATAGAACTACATAGCACTGCACCAAAATTACCAGGCAGTTAATTCTAGAATACGTTACAAATCTATGCAAATCTGTCAATTTAAAATCGAACGCATTGTACTTTCGGTGGAATAGAATCACGAACCTAGGTACTCGTATTAAGAAGTTATGTATATTTTACCGGCACGAGCTTTCCAGAGATTATTTCGTGATCAATCGATAGACGCTCTTATGTAACGAGACATTTAGCAATCTAGCTGTGTCGCGTTTCACATAAACGGTAAATAGTTTTTCTTAATTTAGATATAGGTACATAGAGTAAATCAAGAAAATATTTATAGTGTCAGTCATACGGGTTCGATTCCCGCTCAAGTCAAACATTTGTGTGCATGAACATTTGATGTTTGATTTGGTCTGGGTGTTTCTATGTATAATATGTATGTATTTAAAAATATATATATATATATGTATTTATATCAGTTGTCTAGTACCCATAGTACAAGCTCTGCTTAGTTTGGGACTAGATGGCGTTGTGTGTATGTGGTAGAATAGAATATAGAATATATACATATTATGTGAAATGTTTCCAGAGTACAGTTTACCAGAACAGTTTAATGTAATTTTATTACAAACTAGAGTTTCTTATGTGTATGTTTCTTCGTTTTATGTTTTGTTTTATTTAATTGGCCGTATGTATGAGGCCCGGGTCGGACCAAATGTTTACATGATATGCAAATATTTGTTTCGGTATTTTGGTGTTTACTATGCATTGTAAATACATAGATATTAATGTATGTATTTACAAAAAATATATACTTTTTTGTAAATACATACAGTATCAGTCAATCTAGCTTTTATAGTACAAGCTCTGCTTAGTTTGAAACTAGATAGCGTTGTATGTCAGTTGTCCGAAAATATTATTATTAAGGACCAGTATAACTTGGACTCTCACTGTATAGATATTCCTACCATGACAGGTCAAAATATATACTAGTCCGTCTACATATTTTTAACTTTATTGCTCATATGGTTAAAAAACTAAAACTTTCATCAACACTTTTAATCGTCTCGTCTCAATTTCAAAAAAATCGGTCCTGAAATACTTGTGTCGGTGACATATTCTATTAGTCACATGACTAAGAAAATTCCATATTAAATATCTCTACCTACATTTAATATCCAGCATTTGGCTAAATATCAAACTAGCCGATAGTTACGTTACACAAGGATTCTTTTAATGCAGAAGCAGCAGACAGCAGACAGCAGAAATAGTAAAGCTCCTTAAACTTTAATTGTTTTACTTTCTGTGTTTTGATGCCTTTCTATATATTTAATGCGATTATAAAACAGACTTGAAGAAAGCATTTACAAAAGTGTGCCATAAATCCTCCTCCTCCGCCTCCTCAATAAACTAGACCGACTTCTTAATAACTGCATTCGATTTGTTTTTAATCTTCGCAAGTATGACCATGTGTCTGCTTTACGTTCCCAACTGAAATGGTTCCCGATTCGTCAACGCCGCAGTCTGCGCGCACTAACATATCTTTTTTCATTTCTTAATTCCCCATCGGTACCTGAGTACCTGGTTCCCCATCCCCCATCCTTTGCTCCAATGACGACCGAAATCTTCGATCAACAAATAATATGCTTCTTCTTTGCCCCCCTCACACTTCCAACTTCATCAATTCTTCCTTCTATGTACAGTCAGTTCTTCTCTGGAATGCGCTCCCAGTTGAAATTAGGATGTCCACTAACCGGTTTACGTTCAAGAAGAAAGTACAAGAACTTCTACAAAATAAGTTGGCAGAAAGGTCACATCGCTAGTACCCGACTATGTGTTTTGATATTTATGTACTTATAAATGTGTATATTCATCTATTGTATGTGTATACTTGAGACCTCTATGTATATATGTAGTTATGAATATAGTATTTTATTTATAGTATTTATAGTAGTAGTGTATATATGTAAGTTAGATTTATCCTACATTAATAAGTTTAATATAAACAAGTCAAATTCTCTGTTTTCTCTTGCACCTACAGCTTCATTTTTCTACATCACCCGAAGGTCGACTGGCAGAGAATGCCTTGGGCATTAAGTCCGCCTTTGTACAACTAGTGCATTAAGTTAAATAAATAAATAAATAAATACAAAGAAAAGATGCATAGGCATAGAGAAGGCTTAAAATAAAAACATTTTATATTCCGTTATAATATATGTAGTATCTTAATATTATACATCAGAATATCATGGCGATGAAGACACATTTGTATTTAGCAAAATATATTAGTAACTAACATTTCTTTTAATATACTTACTTTAGTTAGGTTGGACCCCTTAACATCGAGAAGTTACAAACATCTCACCACACGAGTTGCATAACTATTGATATGCTGACCTTGAGTTCAATAAAGGAGTTTGACCTATAACCGTTTTGCAATCTGTTCGGTTATTTTAGTCTAAACTGTATATTATAGTGACTACTTACTACTATGAATTAACTAACCTTTCTATTAGAGGCCATGGACGTTTAAGTCGGTGAGAAGCAATAACACTGTGCATACAACCAACAGTGAGATCCAGTAAAATGAATAGAATGTATGCTTTGTAATAATTAATTTGGAGTTATCGCTTTTTCTCCTTAGCCTTCTTTCTAAGGAGAGGCCTATGTCCAGCAGTGGACTAGTAAAGGCTGTTGATGATGATGATGCTTCTTAGTAATTACAAAACGTGATTTGATAAGAAATATGTCAAAAAAAATAGAAAAAAATATTGTCTCTACATTCAGTCAATGTGATCTAATTCTAAAATATTTCTATTTCATATTTCTTTCTTAAATTTATTGTAAACATATAAAATTACAAACCTTTAAATACGTAAATACTAGTGTTTTTCCATATAAGAGATTAATAATTGCATTGTTTTATTATATTTTTTATGTCACTATAAGATTACGTCAATTGATTACATTATCATTTGACATAATCTCATACCATTGTATCAGATTGTGCGCCAGCAAATGCAACTGTGCATTACAAATACTACCAGTTATGGTAACTGTTGCTATTATTTCACAACGTCCTCCACCTCCACAACATTAGAATACAAAACTAATAATTCTCTTTAGGTGAAAAGAATCAGCATTGCTGTTTAACTTGTACCTTACCAGACCTTGTACTTGTACCAGAGGTACGTTACTGG